CGAAGGGGCCGGAAGGGGCCGGCGACCTGCACGCCGCCCTGGACCAACTGCAGGTGAGGGGTGGGCAGGTGGAGAGCAGGCCGGCCCCACCCCCGGGTGCTGTTGGGCCCACAGCCCACAGTCCAGGCCCCCCAAGACCAACTCTGTGAGATGAAGAAATTTCTAGAGGGAGGTGGCCGGTGTGCCCTGGTGTCGGGCTGGGAAAGGACTTCCCAGGGCCTGTGAGAAGTGGGCGGAGGGTCCCTGAGGCCACAGCCCTGGTTAGATGCTCAGGTCTGCATTGGCCGGACCCCCTCCAGAAACAGGCCCACCTGCAGCCTCGGCAGGTCCCCAGGGGTGAGGTGTTCCGGCCCCACAGGCGGCACCTGGAGCATCTGGAACCAGTGGATTTCCTAGGCAAGGCCAAGGTAAGGGGGCAGCGGCTCACTTCCTGCGGCCCCCGGGCTCGGGGGCCTTCAGCAGCCGCAGGTGCTGAGCTCACAGGGGCCCCTGTCGTTAGAAAGGCTTTGGTAGGTGGGTGGAGAGTGGGCACGAGGCCACCCCCAAACTGCAGAGTGCCTGAGCTTCCTGGGTCAGGGGCAGTGTCTCCAAGTGGAGTTCACAGATTCTGGGCTCTTGGAACCAGGAGGCAGAACCCACCAGAAGCTGGCTGAGGAGGAGGGGTCTCATGACTTTTTGGCAGGGATCCCCAAGGCAGTGCTGTCCCCGCCCGCCTCTACCTCAGCCATGCTCTTCTGGCCTCAGCACCTCCCTGTATTTTTCTCTCTCCTTATCTCCCTGCATCTCTGCCCCAGAGAGGGAGATCCCAAGGAGGCCCCGGGGTAGGCTGGCCTGGGCCCTGCAGCATCACCAAAGTCCCAGAACATTGGGGAGCGGGGGTGGAGTGCAGAGAAGTAACTCCTCTGTGCACAAAGGAAAATTTGCTTGGGTTTCAAGCTGGTGGCCCTTGGCTTAACCCCAGCACCCACCAAGGTCACTGAGGGCCGGCACGCTGTGTGTGACCAGGTACAGGGCTGGTGAGGTCACATGCCCCAAACACCTCATCTTTGCAAACGTCTGCTGGCAGGGGCCAGGCGGCTCTGAGCTGCATTAAACTGAATTTAGAGTTTGTTTATCACAGTATAAGACTTCTAAGAAATAAAAATATTTCAAAAGTTGTATTAAAAATAATTTAGAACTGTCAACACAGATGTTTTCCTTTATCAGACATATTTTTCCTACCTTCTAGCCCCCACCATGGCGCTTTTGCAGCCTTGGGTCAGGCGTGGGCAGCCCCCACATGGCAGATGGGACACTCAGGCGTGCGGGGTGGGCAGCAGGGGCTGGGAGCGGACATCACAGGATCCCTGACTCTGCTGTCTCCTGCTGTCCCTCACCAGGTGGTAGCCTCTGCCATCCCCGAAGACCAGCACGAGGGCACCCAGCCTCAGCAGCCCCAGGTGTGTGGGTAGCCTTCCAGCCAGCCCAGACTTCTGTGATTTTGCAGGCCTGAGCATTTCAGACCTTTTTACTGTGAAGGGAGGAAAGTGCTCTGAACCCTCCCTCGGGGCTCCCCAACCTTGCTCTGATCTGAACTTGGGAGTGGCAGGCCTATTCTGTGTGAGAGTCTTGCCTGGGGTAGCAGGGGGCGGGGACAATGCTGGGCCTCCCTGCCCTGACACTCACCCACAGGGATCTGCCTCCTGACAGAAGATGTCATTCTGTACCCATAGGTTCGGGATGCCGATGGTGAAGGCAGACCTGGAGCTGCCCCACGGTAGGAAGGAGTGGGTCTCCCCTCTGCATGCTGGTTTCTCCTCTTGGGGCAGAGGCCTTGGTGTGAGGCCTGCATCGCAGCCCCTGAGGCCAGGGAAGAGGTGTCTAGCCTCTCTCAGCCCTGCCCGTGCCCCCTTTGTCCGGATGCCCAGGGCTTACACTGTCCTGAGCCCATCCTGCTCGTGAGGAAGAGCCCTGTACCCCATTCTCATAGAAGCAGCATCCAAGCCTCAGTGGGCACCAGAGGGGAGTTGAGACTTCAGGTCACCATGACTCCCAAGTAGCACCGAGGCTCGGAGCCAAGGTGCCCAAGGAGGGTGCTGGCTGGGTTGTGGGCTGACGTGATTACTCCTCTGGCATTGCCAGACTGGACCCTCACTGGTGGGGCTGTCCCAACTCGAGAGAGGGGATGCTGCTCAAGGTTGCACAGGTTGTAGGGACATAGAGCAGTTCCCCGCCCAGGGCCTGCTCTGCGCTGCCCCTCTTCTCCACACTTGGTGTTCTCTCAGGCTGTGTTGGGAGGGGAACAAGTTGGGCAAGTCCTGGGAATGAGGGCTCCCCCCCGCCCCCCAGGGCTGGAGACTCAGGCCCCTGCAGCACTGCCACCCCCTGTGGTCCCAGGATGCCCCTTGAGGCAGAGACAGAGGTTGGCTCTGGACAGGTGGCGCAGGTCATCTATGATGAGCGGGTGAGTGAGCCCGGGCTGGGGTTGGGGGGACAGGGGCCACAGTGCTGGGAGGATACCCCCCACCAGGCTGAGCATGGGGACCAGCAGCCACAGCCAGGCACTGTGAGGGTCTCAGGGCAGGGCAGGTGGCTTCCTCTGTCAGGGCAGAGACAGAGCTGGAGCCAGCCACAGTGGCTGGACGCCAGGGTTGGGGAGCTTGCTGATGCTCACTGGTGCACAGACAGGAGTCCAGTGGTCCTCCCCACGCCCCTGGACTGCAGCCTGGGCTTCTGTACCATTCAGCCACCTAGCCTGCCTTCCTGGATACAGGCTTCTCCCAGGCAGAGGCCCCCAGGAGGGTGTGGCTGGCCACCACCCAGGACCAGCGCCCGGAGAGGGGTCGCCCATGCACAGAGAAGGTGGTTGAACTTAACATGCAGTTTATCCAAGGACTCGATAAGAAAACACAGTCCCTCCCCTTTCATAGATGTTCCATTAACTCAAGGTAAACAAACCTGTGCCCTGAAAAGCAATTGTTCTCTGTCATGACTGAGCTTTATTAAATCCCCACAGGTTAAGGATGCCTTTACTAGGTTCGTACATTGAGGGTTTAGGTCCTTGACCCTCCTGACATAATAGCAAACAACTTCTGAAGGGCTTTAACCAGCTAGAAAATCTGATACGGTCCAAACACTTCATTTATAGCCAAACTTCCCAACCACCACCCCCGCCCCTGCCCCTTGAAGCCAGAATCTGAGTCAGGATCGTCTGGATCCCGGGGCCCCTCTGGGAGGTTCCGCTGCCCCTCTCACACCTCCTACATGGGGTGAAGTCCAGCTGGCCCCTGGCCTGGGTCCTCAGCCTCCAGGGTCACCGGGGACCCCCAGCTGGAGCTCCCGTCTCATAGTGCTTGGTGGTGGCAGTCGGGGGCATGACAGATTCTTCCCCACCGATGTAAGGCAGGCTGAGTATGGTCTCCAGGCCCATAGGGACCTGGTTCATGCCCTGAATACACCCCACACGGGTTGTATTTATGGCTTCCTGCTGATCAGCTGGCTCCCTGGCCATAAACCTCACCGCTGGGTCTGCTGCAACAAGCCCCAGGCCAGGGAAAGCTGCCCCATCCTCAGGGCCCCCCTCCCTGGCCCTTGCTCCCAGCCTGTGGCTTTTCCTGCAGAGGCCCCGTGTGGAGCAAGTTGGCAAACAGGTTCCTCCAGGTAAGGACATACTGAGCTACAGGTGGTGGGCAGAGGCTCTCGGTGGTGGGAGTCCTGGGCAGGCGTCTGGGGGTGCTGGGAGCGGCCTCTTTGCCCCCGAGGGAGGCGGCTGGCTACCTTGGGCCTCCCAGCGGGCATGTGGTGCCAACGGCTACTCTACCCCAAAATGTCCCAGTTTGGGGCTGGTGGCCACCTGAGTCTCTGCTCTGTTCTGTCACCCTCCACAGGGCCGCTCGTGGCAGGGGGGCCGGACCCCAGCCCTTTGGAGGATCCCTTGGGTGCTGGGGTAAGAGGCACTGGCCTGCATGTCACCCCCACTCTTCAGGGATTTGGGGCCCTCCTGGGGGCCCCAGCTGATAGAGACTTCCAAGCCTGGAGCCCCAGCCCCTCCCGCCCTCTTTGCTCGAAGGCCACCCCAGCCGGGCCCTGGGCATACAGATGTGGGGCTTCATGACTGACCACTGCCTTTCTGCCCTGACCCAGGGAGTGGCTGTGGGGGACCCTGCGTCCTCGGTGACCGTCACAGTGCAGTGTGCCTTCACCCTGGCCCTGAAGGTCCCGAGAGGAGCTGGCCTCTCCAGCCTGCGGAGCCTGCTGAGCCAAGCACTGCCTCGCCAGGCCCAGTGTGGGCAGCTCAGGTGAGTGGGTGGGAGGTGGGGCAGGACTGCAGAGGGCAGAGGGCAGTGCCCCGCCAGAAGCACCCCCTGCCCCCTCGACACCACTCTGAGGAGTCTCTTTGCAGTTACCGAGACCCCAGCAACAAGGGGCGCTGGGTCCCCCTCCCCGGGGAGGAGGCACTGCAGAGGGCCTGGCGGGACGCGGCAGCCAGCCCGGGGGTCCTGCAGCTCCAGTGCCGGGTAAGCCTCAGGATTGCATGGGTGTGGGTCTCAGTGTGGGGCACGGGGGACCCTGGGGCCCTTCTCCAGCCCTGCAGCCCTGTAGCCCCCCTTCCCGCCATAGGGAGCAGGTGGCCGACCTGCCCTCTGCCAGGTGGTGGCCCAGCACAGCTACTCTGCCCGGGGGCCTGAGGACCTGGCCTTGCAGCAGGGGGATGTCGTGGACGTCCTGTGTGAAGGTCAGTGGGCCTCTGGGGCACAAGGGGCTTCTGTGAGCAGACCTTGCTTGGTGTGCTCTGAGGAACCCTGACTCCCCTTGCATGCAGTGGACCAGGCATGGCTGGAGGGTCACTGTGATGGCCGCATCGGCATTTTCCCTAAGTGCTTTGTGGTCCCAGCTGGACAGTATGTGTGAGGAGCCTGAGACCCCCACCCGGTGCCCCGCCCAGCCCAAACCCAGTGAAGAAATCAGCCCTAAGACGTCCCGTGGCAAGGAGGGTGTTAATAAAGCAGTCTTCCCCCCACGAAGGTGTGGTCTGTATTCTGGGCTTGTACACTTGGAGGGCCTGGCGGAGGCTTCGAGGGTGGGGGTGGGGCTGCCACTCCAGGGGAAGCCCGGAGTCCGGATCCTGGATCCCGACGCCCGGGGACCAGCTGGGCCTCTGCCCAGCCTTCTCCTAGAGACCCCCAGGGCCCCACTGCCAGCGTCTCCCAGGGAGCCACAGCCCCTCTTGCTTGGGCAGTCACTCCCACTTCCAGGCTGGACCGGGCCCCACGTCCCACAGCACCTCGGTCACACAGCCCTGGAGTGGTGCAGGGAGTGAGTCACCCGCCCCCCTGGGAAGCGTGGTGGAGAAGGGGACCCGGAGGGCCTGGGGTGAGGAGAGCCACCCCGGGGGCCGAGTGGGGCCATCTGCCCACGGGGCCGGAGCCCTCAGGACAGGGAGCCCCGACAGGGCTCAGGAGCTCAGGAAGGCTCTGGCCGGCACAGCCGTCCAGCCTGGGGCAGCCCAGCTTAGCCCCGGGGCCGCAGGAGGTGGACTGCCACAGCCCCAAGAGTAGCCAGGAGAGTCAGCCCCGCAAAGACGACCCCAGCCGCCCAGATGCCGTAGCTCTGCGCCCGCCACCGGGCAGGCACCTCGGCCGGGATCACGCCGGTCAGGTTCAGCATGTAGCCCAGCGTCCAGCCAATGTCAGTGCCACCGGCCTGTGGGACACGTGGCCTGGTCAGGGCTATGGGCAGCTGCCGCGGGGCCACTGACCCCCCATTGCCCCAGGCCAGATGGCCAGGCCCTGGGAGGTGGTCACCTGCTTGTGGAACTCGATGTCGGGCCAGGTCTCCTCCCTGAACCCGTAGCCCTCGCGCAGCAGTGTGAGTATATACAGGCCTGAGGCACAGTAGTCCTGCAGCCAGCGGTCCTGCCCTGGTGAGCTCGCCTCCACCTGGGGGCCCGGGAGGTGAGGAGCCAGGTGACGCCCCCTCTCCTGGCCCCCCCGGAGGCTGCTCCCACCCACGGATGCGGCCCTGGGTCTCCTGCCTGGAGCGGGATGGCCAAGGGGCTGTCTTCCCTTCCCTGGGCAGCCCCCCAGCCCTGCTGGCCACACGGCCCAGGATGCGGGCCCCCCAAGTGCCTGCTTGCTGCAGCCCAGAGAGCTGGGGAAGCTCTGGTGGGGAAAGGTGGCCCCAGGATCCACGCACCTGCTTCCAGGGTCTCTGGCAGAACTCCCAGACAGTGGCGTTGACGGTGGCTAGCGGCTGCTTGGAGGTGAGGTTCAGGAAGTAGAAGGTGTAGTAGAAGTTGGAGAAGGCCTGGGGGAGGGGGAAGTAAGATGGGCGTGCCTGCACTGGGGCGATGCCCAGGTGGGCCCGGGTCAGAGTAGCTCCAGCACGGACCAGGCAAAGGCCTCCCCCCAACACACACACACACGGGGACCCAGAGTCCCCAAGACACCACGTGTCCAGGGCTCATCCTGGGCCCACCTGGCATCGGGCCCTTGGGGCTCCAGAAGGAGGCTGGGCCCCCGGGGAGGGCAGTGTAGAGTGCTCACATAGAACCGGCCCCGCACGGGGGGCTGGTAGACCCCATCGAAGGCACAGTGTCTTCGGCCCTCACAGCTGGAGAAGTTGAAGAGGCCCCGGATGGCAGAGACGCAGGCCCCAGGGTTCCCTGTTCCTTCTACCGTGAGATTCCAGGCCAGGTCTGGAGGGGGTGTGGTGTGGACACAGGGTGACTCATACAGGGTGGCCGGGGACAGCGTGGTCCAGTAGCCGCTGTGGTAGCATGGATGGCGGACCAGGGGGCCGGGGCTGCTCTGCAAGAGGACAGGGAGGTGGCCTTGAGTCCAGCACAGGGCCACAGGCCATCCCATTGCACCTCGGCCTCCTCTGCGGGCAAGCCAACCTCCACCAGCCGAGCCAGGAGTCTGGTCAGCATCTGGTCACGCCCGAAACAGAGGTAGCTGTGGGTGTAGACCCTGTGCTCAGAGCCGTAGAGGCGGAAGGTGGCCTGAGTGCTCTTGTCCAGTATGGGGCCTCCAGGCACAAAGGTGATCTGGGTGGAGGCTCCACCCATGTCCAGGGCACCCACCAGGGTCCCCTCCAGAGGCCGGATCCATTCTCCAGAGAAGGAGTACTGAGGACAGACAGGCAGCACTGAGTCCTGGAACCAGCCACATGGACCCACAGCCCCTGGTCATCCAACCCCCACCCTGGGGCTGCCCGTGGCACCTTGATCAGCATGCCCAGGACATAGTTGATGGTAATCCAACCCAAGGCACCTTCATCCTGCCCAGCCAGGAGCTCAGCACCCCAAAAGTCCAGGGGAGCCTGGCCCAGGACCCGGCTGACTGCCGCAAAGATGTCTCCTGCCTGAGAGCTGTTCTTCTGGCTGGGCAGAAAGGACCAGCAGCCAAAGCTGGTAGGAAACCCACAGCCACCCCACCCTGCCCACCTGCCCAAGGCGTCCATGCCGCGGTTCTCAGGGCTGCTCCTCGCAGACATGCCTCAGGGCCCAAGCCAGCCCACCTCACCTGAGCAGCCTCATGCCGGCCGTGGCCCCCAGGAACATGGGGGTTTCCTGATGCCGTGCCTCCGGGATCAGGGCCAGCGCCTCCTCCAGGCAGCCCTGCAGGCTCTCACCAGCCTGTGCAGGATTGGAGGCATAGGAGGAGATTCCAGGCCCTGAAACACAGCACCCAGGACAAGGCTGCAGGCCTGAAGGCCGGCAGGGCTGGGAGGGCCTGCGGTGGCTTGGATAGAGTCGCCCCAGGAGATATGTCCACGTCCTCACCACTGGGATCTTTGAGTGGGATCTTATTTGGAAAAAGGTTCTCTGCAGATGTAATTAAGGTAAGGATCTTAAGATGAGATCATCCTGGATTCCCCGGGCGGGCCCTACGTTCCATGGCCCATTTCCTTTAAGGGAGAAGAGAGGAGGGGGGAGGGGTCGAGAGGCAGGAGGAAGAAGGGCCACGTGACACTGGAGGAAGCGGTTGGACCGATGGGACCGCAAGCCCGGGAAGGCCGGGAGCCTCCGGAAGATGGAAGAGGCAGGCAGGGCCGGGCGGGGCTGTGCCAGTCTCTGCAGACGAACCTGGGCCCTGGTCCAACCGCCCTGGTTGGCTGTGCCACCGTGCGTCATTCATTCAACCTCTCTGAGCCACTTTTCCTTTCGGATCATTTGCTGATTTGCTGAAGGAAATCCCACCTCGCCCCCGCTGCGCCACCTCCCTAACCTCCACCCAGCCGGGAATCCCAGCCCGACAGCCGACCGCGGCAGCCACGCCCGCCCACCGTTGGCGTACTGACCTTTCACCCGGCAGGCCAGGGCCTGGCTGACCACACCTGTGCTGTTCTCCTTGCCTGCCGGCCACCGGTACACGAAGAGGGATGTGTGGGAGGACCCGGCGTCAAACACAATCCCAAACTGAGAGTGACAGCAGCGTCAGGAGGCCGGGGGCCCGCACACCATCGGCCTGGCCCAACCGCGCGGGTCTAGGGGCCTACCTTGGTGTCTGCAGGCAGGAGGACACTGGTGGCCTCCACCAGGAGGAGAACGAGCATGGTGAGGCCTGAGGCCGCTGCGGCCCCTAGCAGGGCCGTGAGGACCCGCTTCTTCCAGGTCAGCCCCATG